AACAACACGCATATTGCTTTAATACCAAATATTAAGGGTCTTCCATTAAGGCTTGATTTCCTTATAGAGGAACAAACATCACAATTATCCTAACAGGAGAACATAGCTCATTTAAGACAAGACTAGAATACATTCAATCACATCTGGATCTATATGTACAAGTGGTATCACACAGAATCTCAATTTTCCCAGGCCATTTACTGTTAGTACTCCATATTACAGGGCCCACTACTTTCAGTTAGTGTACTGTCAAAGATTTAAAGTGGCAGTCTTACATTCTCATTCCCCTCTTTTATGGTCCATGAGGATTTTATATTCCTCATGCAACAACTAAAATATACTCTCCTAATGGTCCTTCACAGACAGAATTTTGGTATGCTATCTACAAGTAATTCCATGCTGCAATTTTATTACTATAGTTTCCATATCATAAAGAATAACCATATAACATTTCTCATATCCTTATTTCAATGAGATCAAAAACCTCCCCTAAACCTCTTTCCCAAACTCCAAACTCTTTACTTTCAAATCCTCTATTTACATTGCTAATGCAAACAGACTTCTACTCATTCTCCTCTCATCCCTACTTGTTAAACTTTCTCTCCTCTTTGTCTTCTATATTTTCTCACTGGACTTTGATTATGCTTCAAAACAGTACCTGTCTTGTTTCTTTCATATTTGGGTCTGACACTTCCCTTACTTTCTTCGATTTGCTTAATTCCTCTAGTCTTTATTTCCCAATCATATCCCAGACTATTTATAGAACTAATATTCATTCCACTGAGTTTTTTTAGCCCAAGTTTTTATTACATAATACAAATCAATTGCAGTACTGTTGCCTTTGGGGTTCTTAAAAGTTTGCAAATGCATAGTCTATTCCAATACTTTTTGGTGACTTTAGTTTACCTAAATAATTAAGTTATGTTATATCATTTGTAGAAGAAAATGCAATGGTAACATAAAACATTCTTCCAAATTAAATTTTACTTACTTTTCAGTGTTCCCTGATTTATACAAGCTTCTCTCTTTTCACAGTCAAGAAAAGTTAATAATAGGCAGTTTAAAAAAAAACTGCAAACCTATTTTGTTCTTTTCTCTAATTGGTGAAATCATCTTCCTTGCAATAAAACAATGAATCTGTCACTCTCCAGGGAAAGAGTGATAAAGGGTTTAATTGTTTTTCCATACAAATTTCAGAAAGCTTTATTCTTATTTTTTCTTAAAACAAATTTTACAGAGTGGTACCCTAAAACTCACTAAGATATTTTAGCACTTATAAAAACATTTAAACCACAACTTAGAGATTCACAGTAAAGAACTTACATTTCAGTCACAAATTTAGTCTCTAATTAGCTTATGATACTGTAAATTCCTTCAGACAGGGGGAAAAGATTACCTTCCCTCTTAAATATCTTAATCTGTGCAATCTCCAGCTCTGTCCTTAGTCAGTCCCCTGAATGGGAAGCTTCCCCTGTTCCTAGGCCAATAAGAACTTCTCTAAAGGGGGTGGGGGGAGGGTATCTGTTAGCTTACAAGAGTCAGTACCTGTGTTCCTTCCTCAGGGAGCAGTCACCAAAAAGAAAACCCATTCTTGCAGCACTTTGAAAGGAAGGATTATACCCACTGATTGACTTCCCTAGAAGATATTTTTAACCATATGAATGAAATATCTTTCAATTCAAGGTACTGAAGTCACTGTTATGGATGCTAATGAAAAATGACAATATTTCTGGATAAGAAGCTGATATAGAAGAAGAAAGGAGAAGCTGATATCCTTGTAAATTTTCAAATTCTGGGGTAAGAACTTTACCAAGATGGAGCTGAGATATAAAATCCTGTCAATTTTTTTGAAAAGATAAATCTCTGAATACCTACAAACACTTCAGAATGCTGTCAAAGTTACTTCTATCTTTATGGCACTGCTGTGGAACCTTACATTCACAATCCTTTTGTTTTCCAATGTAAACTTTATCAAAAACATTGACCTAGCCAAAGATGAATAAACACTTTAAGATTTGTTTTTGTGTTACCACCTTGGTAGAAACAGGCAGAAGCTGCATAAGCCTCAAGGCCATTTTGTATTTTTCCTTATACTTACTGGCATACTAATGACAAGCTTTTCTTTGCACAACTGGCCTGTCCGAGGCCAAAAGTTTATCATAGGAAGTCTTTACTTGGCAGAATATATCAGAATTTATACTCTGATAGCATACTTTTCCATTTCTCCCAGTAATTCATTTAACTTTTTCTTTATTTTTAGATAGTGTTTAGTGCTGTTCAGTACTGTTGGATGCTGTTCATTGCACATATATTTACTATTGATATTGTCTATGACCTTTAAGCAAAGTTTCCCTATTTATCTCTTTTAATTAAGCCTATTTTTGCTGTTGCCTTGTCTGGGATCATGAGTTCTACCCCTGCCTTTTTTTTTTTAACATCATCTGAAGCATAATAAATTTGCTCCAGTCCCCTTTTTACTTTTTGTAAATCTTTATGCTTCAAGTATGCTTCTTATAAAGAAAAAAAAATGGACTGTTGGATATGCTTTCTGTTTGTTCTGCTATCCTTGTTTCTTTTATAAGTAAATTCATCCCATTTACATTCACAGTACTGACTGTTAACTATATATTTCTCTCCATGCATTTTTTTTTCAAGATCTCTCTTTACTGAACAGTGGGTGGTGAGAGAGATGGAATGCACAAACTACCAGTATTCTCTTTTCTTTCTCTCATCAAGAACCCAATCACAGGTTCTTATCCTTTCTTTCCTTCTAAATTCCTCTTTGCAGTTCATCCTTTAGAGTTTGTTTTTCTTAGGACTAATCCCTCCTCCTCTCCTTTCTTCCTTTTCGCCCTGCACCCAACTACATATAATATTTCCCCCTTTGATCAGTTTAGAATAAAAGTTCAAGTATCCCCTACTCCACTCTGCCCTTTCTCCTTGTTAATATAGTATTCTTCTTGCACACCTAATTATATGATTTCATACTGTGCATTTAAAAAAAAAATCTTTGTGGCATGGCTGAGGGAGAAAGCTTGGCTGTGGTTCTTTCTGTTTGTCTGCCATCTTGGCCTTTCCTTTTCTCTGACTTCCTGGCATAGCTTTCAAGAACCCAATGCTACCTCCATTCCATAATGAATGATCAGAATTGTATTTTTATGGAGATATGGAATTCTTATTCACCCTCCATGGCAAATCTACTGGATGCATTGGAGCCCTCCCTTCAAGTTTTTAAATATTAAATATTCTTTGTTATAACTAGCTCACCTCCTTTTCCAAGCATATATTTCCTTTATTATGTTTTTGCGCCATTCTACTTCCTGCAAACAAGTCATTGTTGGTAATATTTTGCAGGTTATTTATACCTACCATGTGCCTTTTCCTCACCTGTTAGATCACCTGTAATTTGGATTCTTTAGACACCATGGTTTTCTCTGATTAATAGCCATAAAAGTATCAACAGAAAACCATTGATTTCATGGTATTGAGTAGCTTTGGATAGCACTGCATTATTTTTAAAATGTGATTTATGCCAAGCTCTTCTTTCATTTCAAGTCAGGGCTCAACTCGTTGATTGCCCCCAAAATATATACTTGGTTGATGAATGTAATTCCTCAAATTGAGGTTCTGGAGGAATTCATCAATTTGAGGAAGAGACTGTAGGGGTGGAGGCATTGCAAACATGAGAAGATTGCCAGATAAGAGACAGAGAAATGGTCTGGGGACTCATGGACTCATCTAGGGTTTGAAGATATAATTTTTCCTGGGTCTAATCAATCCTGTATAAAATTTGTAACTAAGATTCTAGAACCACAAAAACAAAAGCAGAGCCTAGGACCATGGTGATCCCACGAAGAGGTAGAAATTGGTAAAACTCATCTCAGAGACTAAAATAATAATAATATATATCATTTATATGGCACTTTAAGGTTTGCAAAACACTCTGTACATGTTAGCTTATGTAAACAACCTTTGTAAAGTTTTTATAACTGGGTTTAAGAATTTCTCCACTACAAAGTTTTAAAGAATTAACATTCAAGTGACCCTCGATTTTTAAAAGCACTGGCAGATCCAATAAAGCTAGAAAGACTTCGAGCATAGGTCCAGTATGTCTGTCATGTCAGCCTAGGTTAAGTATATCACCAAAGTGACGTCTGGCTGATGAATTCTTTAGTCATGAGGTAATGTATTTAAGAGGTCATACAGCTAGGTAGTATTCATGTGGTGCTTTAAGCTTTACAAATATCATCTCATCTGATCCTCATAACAACCCTGGGAGGTAGGTGCAATTATGATCCCCATTTTACAAATGAGAAAACTTGGACAAAGGTTAAGTGATTTGTCTAGTCATATAGTTGACAAGGATCTGAGGCAGGATTTCAACTTAAATCTTTCTGACTCCAGGTCCAGTGCTCTATGCATTGTGATATACATCTGGGGATAGAGTATCTGGTTGGCACATCACATGAATCAAGTCACATTTTGCTTAAGTACTGACATAAAAATGAACTGAAATTCCCCTACATGATTTACTCAATCAGTACGAAGAAAGTGCTTTATGTGCATTTCCTAGACTTAATTAATTGCAATATATGCAGTCAGTAGACTATATAATATATTATGAAGTAGAGCAGATAACTAGGACAGGTCATAGAGGACTACATCATAGAATCATTTTTATAGATGAGGAAATTTAGGCCCAGATATGGTAGATGACTTGATCAAGGCCATGCATTTCATGAGTTAAAAGAGTTGGATTTAGGCCCAAGATCTCTAACTCCAAAACTAGTACTCTTTCCATTGCACCAAGCTGAGTCTGCATAGGAGTCATTCAAAGAATGGTCTACTGTTAAATCAGTCACACATTCATTCATTCATTCATTCATTCACTCATTCATTCATTCAATGAGTATTTTATTAAATGCCTACTGTATGTAAGGCACTAGAATGAACCAAAAATTATTCTTGTGTGTCTAGTTATTTTAAATTTGTCACCTTACCCATTTGGAAGAGAAGTTAACAAATTAAAGGAAATGACAAATACTTCAAGGTGCTTTAATTTTTCGATATCAGAAGGGATCTCTCTGATAGGATTATTTCTCATGATCAGGACTTGTAAGTTAATTAAAACTAACACCTACAGAACAGAAAAAGGATAAGGAAATGGTTAGAAAGAATACATGTAATTTATTCTTACTTTTTACTTGCTGAATTAATGGTTCTTGAATAAGCAGGATCAGTACAATGAAGTAAATTTAATATTCTATCTTCATTAGTGCATTGCAAATATATTTAAAGAAGTCATCAAAGTTCATAGAGTACATTTATTTTACAATTAGAACTGTGAAATCCTTTCAATATAAAATAATGAAACTTAAAATAAATTATTTTCTAGTATATTTCTGACTCTGACAAATCATGCATTATTATTATTTTTTTTTACTTAGGGACAGCTAGGCGGTGCAATGGATAGAGCACTGGCTCTGGAGTCAGGAGGACCTGAGTTCAAATCTGACCTCAGATACATAATATTCACTAGCTGTGTGATTCTGGGCAAGTCACTTAACCCCAAATGCCTCACACAAATTTTTTTTTTTTTTACTTTTCTTACTATATAGTGTTCCCAATTTAAAGCTTATCAACAGTGCCCAGCTAACAGGATTACAGTCTGTGAAACTGGACCAGGCACCCCAGTATAGGGGTCCCTCTCTGGTCTAAAGAATACTGGATAAACTGGATAAATTGGTCATTCATGTAATAAATAGATATTAATTGAGTAACTACAATCTGTTAGCCACTCTACTATGGGCATTTGGGAATTCAAAGATGAGTAAGTTCTACTTCAAGAACCTGGACATCTAATAAGGGGAGATAAAATAAGCATATTATAAGGTAGAATGTGATTTGCTAGAGGAAAATTCAAAAAGAGTGCTAAGGGGAATTAAGAAGAAGAGATTATATTCATTTGAGGGGTATTTGGTGGGTTATGTGAAGAGGCAGCTATGTGGTATAATGGATAGAGTGTTGGACTTAAATTAGGAAGACTTGAATTTGAATCCTGCTTCAGATATTTATTAGCTGTGTGACTCTGGGCAAATTATTCAATCTTTTCCAGCCTCACTTTCCTCATCTATAAAAAGGAATGAGAGTAAGAGCACCTACTTCACAAGGATGTTTGTGAGGATCAAAAGATGTAATTATATGTAGCGTTTTGTAAATTTTAAAGCTTTACATATATATGTTAGCCATTATTAAAGGAGATGGTCATTGAGCTGGGCCCCAAAGGATCAATAAGATTTCAGTAAGAGGAAAAAGAAATAGCACTGACATATAATTTCAGCGAGAGGGACAATTTACCTCCTCTTCCCCTCACCTATAGCAAATAGGTGAATTCTGAACCTCAGAGAAACCTGAACAAGCCTAATTCCCTTTCCCCATGATGATATTTTACATTCATCATGTCAGCCCTGTGCCTTTTTTTACTTCTTTTTTTGGCCAGATAATTGGGGTTAAGTGACTTGCCCAGGGTCACATGTATCTGAGGCCACATTTGAACTCAGATCCTCCTGACTCTAGGGCTGATGATATCTCCAATGAGCCACTTAGCTGCCCTTAGCCCTGAGCCTTTTGTTCTCCTCTAGACTTCTTGTCAATGAGGAAGAGGTGGCCCTTCTCCATAGAACCAACCCTTCTACCTATGATCTCAATTCCTGTCCCTTTCAGAAACTGGACCTTTTTAATCTTTCCTTCCTTCTCTCTCATCTCTAATCTCTCCTTATTTACTGGTTCTTTCCTTATTGCCTGTAAACATGCTCAGGTTTTCCCCTGCTTTTTAAAACTCCTCAATTGAGAGGCAGCTAGGTGGCACAGTGGAGAGAGCACCGGCCCTGAAGTCAGGAGGACCCGAGTTCAAATTCGGCCTCAGACCAAACACTTGACACTTACTGGCTGTGGCTTGGGCAAGTCACTTAACTCCAATTGCCAAAAAAAAAAACCCAACAAACAAAACCAACAAAAAAAAAAAAACCTCCTCAATTGACTCTGACATCCCCTCAATCTATTTTCCTGTATTTCTCCTCCTTTTAATTCCCAAACTCCTTTACATGCACTGCTATTACTTCCTTACCACCCCACTAACTTCTCAATCCCCTCCAGTCTGGCTTCTGGACCCAGCACTCCAATGAAACTGCCTTTTCCATGTTTACCAGCTATCTTTTAACTGATAAATCCAGCAGCCTTTTCTGAGTTCTCACCCTCCTTCATCCTTTTGATACTGTTCTGTTGATCATTCCCTCATCCTGGATACTTCTCCCTTGGTTTCTGTGACACTGCTCTCTCCTGATTCTCCTCTTTCTACTCTGACCACTCCTCTTTAGTGTCCTGTGCTAGATCATTATCCATCTCCTGTCCATTACGGTGGGTGTTCCCTGGGATCCTTTTATCTTTTTCCTCTTACATTCTATCTCTGCCACTAGCTCCAGGAGTTAAATTACTATTTCTACCAAAGTGACTCCAGGAACTGTCCAGGAGCCTTAATGCAGACCTGATCTCTCTTCTGAATTCCAGGCATATATCAACAACTGCCGGCTGTATGTCTCTTCTTGGACATCCAACTGGCATATCAAAATCAGTATTTTCAAAATGGAACTCATTATCTTGCCCCTCTTCAAAACTTCCTTATTTTTGTTCACATGATTGGACTGCCTGAAGAAGATTTTTTTCAGGTGGGGGGTGGGTAGCTTTCTGCATGTCAGATTGCAGAGAAGTTCTTTTCGGTCAGATAAATCTCACCATGTTATAGTTTGATTTTGAAAACTCAATATAGAAGTAGGGAGACCAGTTAGGAGGTTATTGAAATAGCATAGGTGAGAAGGAGTAAGGGCCTGAATGAGGGTGGTGGCCATGCAGACAAGGGGATGAATATGAAAGATTTGTAGGTAGAATCAACAAGACTTTCCAACTGATTGGATAGAAGGGGTAAAAGAGTGAGGTGTTGAGGATGATCACAAGGTTATGAATCTAAGTGATTAGAAGGATGATGATCTCCTTGACAGAAAAGAAGTAAAGTGAAGGAGCTGATCCAGGGGAAGAGATAATGGGTCTCATTTTGGACATGCTGAATTTGACAAAAATAAATGCACAGTGCAAATTTGCTCTATCCATGATATTTCTTAAGTACCTTGGATTAATTCAAGAAAAAAAAAAAGAAAGATGTAAATGTAATCATCCCTTTACTTGACTAGATTGCCTATTTAACATAACATAACTTTAAAGGAGTATTTCAAAAGGATCTATCCTGTATTTGGCTATCAATGTTATTGCCTAAGGAGGAACATTTTGTTCTAGCCTATATTAATGTAAATTAGCTAAAGTTATATGGCATCCTTTTCTCATCACTGGTCTCTGACTGTCATGTGGTTTTTTAATCTTTATTTTGGTGTTGGAACTATAATGTAAGTCACTACATGGCATTATTAAATCATATTAACATGCACTAAAATTTAACTATAATCCTATCTTCAGAGTCTATGTCCCTGGGCCACGATGTTTTTTGGTACATAAATAATTAAACAATTTGGAATTGAATCCAAGCTATAAGCTACCTAATTATGAATTTCCTTCCACAGCAAATATAGATAATAAGAATATAGGACACTATAATGAAAATTTTTCCCAATTGTGATACTGATTAACAATCGAATACTAACAACAGTATTAAATAATAATTATAACTTAGATTATAACTAGAAATGGACTCACCTCTGGAGGAAAGATAGGTAAACTATTGAAGGCTAAGTTAAGATATACCAACTGTCTAATCAAAATGCTTAAGTTTGGGCACCTTTCAATAAAGAAACCCTAAAAGAAATTGAAAACAAAAAGGTATCAATGATTATACCATATATTAGTCTGGTTTTTCCTTCACTTTTTAAATCCATCTTTATGTCTTTTCCTCCACAAATCCATAATTTACAAACTTAGTCACATACCACAATTCTTAAATAATTATAAAATCATTTTAGGTCATTCAGGTACCTTTAAAAATCACTTAATTCTTTAAAATCTGCTGAAATTGTGATAAGTTAAACCAATGTTAAATTAACCAAATATTGGCATAGCACTTTACATTAAGTTTCATAGACACTTCGAGAGAAAAATCATATTAGAACCAAGCAAGATCATCACTATTACATGTTTGGAATCAACTTTTTATATGTCCTTCAAATGATATGTCTATGTCTGCAAACTGGTCCAACTGAGAGTTACTTATAGCAATTTAAACATCACTGCCTTGTTGTGGCAGAAGGGCTTGCATAGCTTAATGAAACTATGAGCTATATCATGCAGCATCACCTATGATAGATAGGTCACAGTGGAGAGTTCCGACAAAAGGTGATCCATTGGAGAAGGAAATGGCAAAGCACTCCAGTATCTTTGTCAAGAAAACCCATGGGCAGTATTAAAATGATAAAAGAGAGAACACTGGGCAATAAACCCCTCAAGACACAAGGTGTCCAACATGCTACTGGGGAAGAGCAGAGGACAACTTACAAGTAGCTCCAGTCCTAATGAAGCAGCTGGACCAAGCCCAAAAGGAAGCTCAGCTGCAGATATGTCTAGTGACAAAAAGAAAATCTGATGCTGTAAATATCAATACTGCATAGGAACCTGGAATGTAAGATCTATGAACCAAGGTAAGCTGGATGTGGTCAAACACGAGATAAAAAGATTAAACATCGACATCTCGGGTATCAGTGAACTTAAATGGACAGGAATGGATGAATTTAATTCAGGTGATCATTTCTTCCCTTAGAAGAAATGGAGTAGCCCTCATAGTCAATAAAAGGGTGGGAAAAGCAGTACTGGGGTATAATCTCAAAAATCTGCAGAATGATATCTATTCAAATCCAAGGCAAACTGCTCAACATCACAGTAATAAAAATCTTTGCTCAAACCACTGATGCCGAAGGGGCCAGAGTTGATCAGTTCTATAAATAGGAATAACATTAAAAAAAAAGATGTCACATTCATCCTAGGGGATTGGAATGCTAAAGTAGGAAATTAAAAGATACCTGGAGTAACAATTCCACTGGCAAATTTGGCCATGGAGTACAAATGAAGCAGGGCAGAGACTAATAAGGGTTTTGTCATAGTAAGTCATCAGTCATAGTAAATACTCTTTTTCAACAACACAAAAGGCAACTCTACACGTGGACATCACCAGATGGTCAATATCAAAATCAGACTGATTATATATTTTGCAGCCAAAGGTACAGTCAGTTAAAACAAGACCTAGAGCTGACTGTGGCTCAGATCATGAGTTTATTATTGCAAAATCCAGACTTAAATTGAAGGAAGTAGGGAAAACCATCAGACCACATAGGTATGACCTAAATAATGTCTCTTATGAATATGAAGTGGAAGAGATGAATAGATTTAAGGGATTAGATCATGTAGCTAGAGTGCCTGAAGAACTATGGACAGAACTACAGGAGGCAGCAACAAAAAACATTCCAAAGAAAAGAAGAACAGGAAAGAAAAATGGCTGTCTGATGACACTTTATAAATAGCTAAGGAAAGGAAAGTGAAAGGTAAAGGAGAAAGAGAAAGACATATCCAACTGAATGCAGAATTCCAGAGAATAGCAAGGGGAGATAAGAAGGTTTTCTTGAATGAGCAATGCAAAGAAATAGAAGAAAACAATAGAATGGAAAAGACAAAGAGATCTCCTCACAAAAATTAGATATGAAAAGAATATTTCATGCAAAAATGTGAATGATAAAAGACAAAAATGGTAGGGACTTAACAGAAGCAGAAGAGATTAAGAAGAAGTAACAAGAATACACAAAAGAATTAGACAAGAAAGATCTTAACATTACCAAAGAATGATAGCGCAGTTACTGAGCTAGAGCCAGACATCCTGGAGAATGAAGTCAAGTGGGCCTTAGGAAGTATTATCAACAATAAGGCTAGTGGAGGTGATGGAATTCCAGCTGAGCTATTTAAAACCCTAAAAGATGATGCTGTTAGGGGCAGCTATGTGGTGCAGTAGATAGAGCACTGGCCCTGGAGTCAGGAGGACCTGAGTTCAAATCTGGCCTCAGACACTTGACACTTACTAGCTGTGTGACCTTGGGCAAGTCATTTAACCTCATTGCCTACAAAAAAAAAAAAGAAGAAAAAAAAAGGAAAAAAAGATGATGCTGTTAAAGTGCTGCACTCAATATGCCAACAAACTTGAAAAATTCAACAGTGGCCCCTGGATTGGAAAAGATTAGTTTACCTTCCAATCCCAAAGAAGGGCAATGCCAAAGAATGGGCAAAATACCAAACAATTACACTCATTCCACATGCCAGCACAGTTATACTTAAGATTCTGCAAACTAGACTTCAGTAATTTGTGAACTAAGAATTACCAGAAGAGTAGGCTGGTTTTCAAAGAGGCAGAGGAACTATAGACCAAATTGCCAACATTCACTGAATTATGGAGAAAACAGAGTTCCAGAAAAACATTCACTTATGTTTTATTGACTACACTAAAGCCTTTGCTTGTGTGCATCACAACAAAATGTTGGAAGTCATCAAAGAAATGGGAGTACCAGATCATCTTACTTTTCTCCTGAGGAACCTCTATGGGGGCCAAGAAGCAACAGTTAGAACTGACATGGAACAACTGATTGGTTTAAGATTAGAAAAGGAGTATGACAAGGCTATATTCTTTCACCTTATTTATTTACTTATATGCAGAGTACATCATGAGAAATGTGAAGCTGGACGCATCAAAAGCTGGAATTAAAGTTGCCAGGAGAAATATCAACAATCATAGTTATGGAAATGATACCATTCTGATGGAAGAAAGTGAAGAAGAATTAAGAAACCTCTTAATGAAGGTGTAATAGGGGAGTATAAAAGCTTTTTTTTTTTTAACATAAAAACAAGAAAAAGGAAACTAAGATCATGGCAACTGGTACAATCACTTCCTGGAAAATAGAGGGAGAAGTAATGGAAACAGTGTCAGATTTTATATTCTTGGGTTCAAAGATCACTGCAGACAGAGACTGAAGTCATGATATCAAAAGATGTTTTCTCCTTGCGAGGCTATGGCAAATCTGGACAGCATACTAAAAAGTAGAGACATCACTTTGACGAAAGAGGTCTGTATAGTCAAAGCTATGGTTTTTCCAGTAGCAATGTATGTCTATGAGAATTGGGCTGTGTTTTGCAAAAGATTTTCGTAGAATCACTCTGCAGCTGACTTGGAGCCAGACAAGCAGATCTGCTAGAAAGAGACAAGATCAGAGCTGCCTGAGCAGAAGGCCTATCCTGCGAAGTCTAGGGGAAGATGCTTCCAGGGACCAAACAATTACCTAGGACATCTGAGAGTCAAGATGAAATGTGCTGATTAACTAAACATTAGGAGTGGGTTACGAGGTTATAAGAACGATTGCTGTTATTTGATATCAATGATCATTAGTGTATTAATTTTGTTAATTTTTTTTGTTTCATGGTATTCATATTTACTGAGTTTTCTTGGTGACTTTGCTGATATGTATGTACATCTCCCCTCTAAAATAAGCACATGGTGTGTTCTCTAAATGGCTTGATCTGTAACATGCCTTAGTTCATATCTAGGGCCTATTTAATAAGGCTTGTCTTCTTGGTGGATACATGAAATTATGACTCTGTATCTAAATTTATTCAACTTTAAGAGACAGATGGAAACATGGGATTATGATTTGGGACACTAGTTTCCTGTTGTGAGTTTAAGTCCCCTAGTCACTAATTTGGCACAATGAACAGCAGGGATAAGGATGATTAGATTAGGATAGGAGATGAGGCTAGATTAGGATGCCTCCTTAGTTGGGGTGAAAGCCCAAATGAGAATTTTCCTTACAACATAGGTGAGAGGGGATTGGAGTGACCTTCAACTAGGATGATCATGTGAGTGGAGAGAAGACCGATTAAAAAATGTTGTGGCAAGAGATACACTGTTTTATGTGCTCTGTTTCCTAGCTCTGAAGGAGTCTGAGGGTCTTAACTATGGCCTATAAGTGAACATCGGTAAACACAGACATGCTACACTAGCTAGTTGGGGATAAAGGTGGAATATATGACTGAATGTGGTGCTGAACCATATATGTTTTGTTTTGATGTTCAGTCTTTTCCATATATGCAGTTAGCAACAAATGGGGGAATTATTGAAAGTTATGTTGATTCAGTGACCCATTGTTCCCAGCCCTGCTTATCAATCATTTGTTAGGGGAGGCTGTGTTGGGGAAGGCGACATCAATTCTGCAGCTTTTTGCATTACCTGCTCTTTGTCATATACCCCACCTGTGAAGTGTGTACCCCTACCTACAAATCAATACGTTTCTTGCTATCTTGCAGAGGAACTGAGAAGCAAGGGCTCCACTTCTTTCACTGAGGTGGACCTACTAGAATTGTTTTTAAAGTTCCCAATAATAGTTGGCCCTGCTCTGAAGCCATCATTGATCTTCAGTGATTAACCCATCAATGTTTTGCTGCCTTGACATATAATAAACTCCTTTTAATTCTCTTTTTCCTGAATTTTGCCTCCTTAGTTAAGAGTGAAAGTTCAAATGAAGAATTTTCTTATAGGTGAGAGGGGATGGGAGTGCCTTTCAACTAGGGTGATCATGTGAGTGGAGAGAAGACAGATTAAAAAATGTTGTAGCAAGAGATAAACTCTTTTATGTGCTCTGTTTCCTAGCTCTGAAGGAGCCTGAGGGTCTAACTATGGCCTGTAAACAAACATCTGGTAAACACAGACATGTTACACTAACTAGTGGCACCATGGAACAGTTAGTGGCAAAATCACTGAACTCAGAGTCAGAAGACCTGAGTTTTGACATTCCAATGTGGCTGTGGGCAGATCTCAGTTTTCTCACCTGGAAAATGAAATTATGGTATTTGTAATATTTTGCTCACATGTTTCTGGCAAGAAAATATCTTTGTAAATATTAAATGTGAGCTGTTATTCTCCAGAGGTTTGGCAATGAGGACCACATGCTACATCACAGAGGAAAATGAGACAGTACACATATACTAACAAAACAGATAAGCAGAGAATTAACTGAGCAAGGAGTTTTTTTTTTAAGAAAATAAATAAATTAATTCCTAAAAGACATGAAAATTAGAGAAACTAGGTCAAAAAGAAAAACTATAGAAATAGGGGCAGCTAGGTGGTGCAGTGGATAGAGCAGCAGCTCTGGATTCAGGAGGACCTGAGTTCAAATATAGCCTCAGACACATAACACTTACTAGCTGTGTGACCCTGGGCAAGTCACTTAATCCCATTGCCTAGCCAAAAAGAAAACCAAACTATAAAAACGGTCAACAAAACATGAAACAGAAGTGAGATAGAAATAACTGTCGCCTACAGTTAAGTTGCTACAAACTTCACAATCTTACCTAGTCATTTATTCCTGTATTCTCTCATGTTACACTACAAACCTCAGAAAAGACAGACCAGTTTGACAAACATAAACAGGCATTATGGACCTGTTTTTCCAAACTGGGTAAGGGTAAAATCTCCAAAGAGCATCTTCACTGTGTGGCCTAAGTGATGTTCCTATACCCATTGCTAACAACAAGGGAGAAAAAAGGCTTCAATAATAGTGGCAATGACAGAGGTATCCAAGATCAAGCTGATCTGAGAATTGGGGGCTAGGGAAGGTTGAGGTCTCTTAATCATGTCTCGCAGCTGGCTTCCAACTCCTGAATTTCACTTAAGCAAAAACATTCTATTACCCCAATACATCAGGTGATGTTAATTAAATTAAATAAAAATTACTTTAAATGAAATTACCAAATATTTATTAAGTGCTTATTGTATGCACAGAACTGAGCTTTAAGTTTCCACCTGTGAATTAAACCAGGCAGCTAGGTTCATGGATGCATTAGTGAGTAATATTTTTATGCAATACTATTGGTCCATCAAAATCGAGATGCATATCTAAAGGAAGTTTCATTTGCAGTAGTAAAGTATCATCTAAAGTGGTTTAAGTTTAAAAGGCTAAAGAAAAGAAATGCTAATGAATACAATCACTGAAAAATATTGTACCTTAAAACTAAGTGCATTTCTTCCATGTTCATGACATCTGATAACAGCTATTTTGGCAAGGTTCAGTTTTGGATTATCATCAGGTGATAGTAAATCTTTATAATAACCCTCGCCGTACACAATGAGTTCCTTCTCAGATTCTGTCATTTCTAGAAGTGACTCTAAAAAGAAAAACATGTTGCTGTTAGAGGAGATTTAAGTACTATATCCTATTGAATAAAAGTTGAAAGATGAGCCAGGGAACCCTGTGTAGGGCTCACTTCAACTGTTCATTTGGCTGTGGTCACAATACTTAGGACTAAACCCATTTTTCCCCCTTTAAAATTGGCTCTTTTTTCAACTCTACTGTTGCTTTCACTCTACAGATGAATGGCTGGAGACAAAAGTAACAAAATGGTCTATACCCTGGGCCAAGTTAATTGTCTCACTGGACTCTTCATATGTAACTGAGCTATTCAAAACTCAGATTCTCTCTAAGGTAAAGTTTCTTTTGTCTCTGAAAGTCCCTCTCCTTTTACTTTTCAATGTCTTTCACTTTTTAGTCATCAACTTTGCTAAGACTCTTGTGGAAAATTATTATCTACACAAACTTAAAAAGGGGAGAAAATTTAAATATTTCCTTTAAAAGCAACACAAAATGAAAACTAGTAATTAAAACAGGAGATTACAAAAAGATGCAAACCTAAAAAGGGACTAAGGAATAATATCCTGAACAATGAACAAATCATAGAAACAATAACTAGGTGAGAAAGAATATAACAGTGAGATAACAGTAAGATGCTATGCCAAAATTTGTGACCGGCAAATAAAACAGTTCTACGTAAAAAATTAACTCAGTACACATATACTAACAAAACAGAAAAACAGAGAATTAACTGAGCATGCAATTTTTAAAAAAATCAAAATTAGAGAAACTAGGTCGAAAAGAAAGACTAGAAATGGTCAACAAAAACAAGGGCTATTTTTTTTTATTTTTGCAAAACCTAACACAATTGAAGAATCATAAACTAACTTAATAAAAAAGGGGGGTGGGAATTAAATTACCAAAATTTAAAAATGAACAATGTCAATTCACCAGGAACAGAGGGGAAATGGAAAAAAAAATTAAATTCTATGGCAGGAAAACTGAGAACCTAAAGTAATTGCTATAATGACTTAGCAGTTGCTTTTGACATAATTCCTCCTACTAAAAACAAAACAAAACAAAACACCTCAAAACAGAAAAATGTGACAAATCCATGGTAATTGAAGCTAAATCAATAAGGTAAAAAGAGGGAAACACTGCACAAAGTAAAAATTTTATGAAATAACATCAAAGAATTGAAATACGTAAAGCTTCCACTCACTCTACCCACCAACCCCTTTCTATCCTATGCACCAGGCAAGTCAGTCAGTAAGTAAATGTGCTAGCTTAGCCCTGGGGATACAAAGAAAGGCAAGACAGTTCCTGAACTGGAGGAACTCACAATTTAATGGGGGTGACAGCATGCAAACAGTTATGCATAAGCAAGATGTCTAGACGAGATAAAAGAAAAATAATCAATAGATGGGAGACATTAATTAAAGATTGGAAAAGGTTTCCCGTAAAAGGTGAGATTTTAGCAGGGACTTGAAGGAAGTCAGGAGGTAGAGATGAAAGTGGAAAGCCTTCCATGCATGAAGGACAGCCAGTGAAAATGACAGGAGCTAGGAGATGGAATGCCTTGCTTGAGAAGGAGGAGCAAGGAGGTCAATGCCACTGAATCATAGAGTATGGCGGGAGGGAAAGGTATAAGAACACTAGCAAGGTAGGGGAGACTAGGTTGTGAAGGGCTTTGAATTCCAAAGGATATTATATTCAATCCTGGAGGTAATAAAGAGCTTCTAAAGTTTATCAAGTAGGGGGTTGAAATGGTTAAATCTATGATTAAGGAAACTCATTTTGATGGTTGGGTGGAGGATGGACAGACTTGTGGCAGGCAACTAACTAGCAAACTGTTGCAATAATTCAGGCATGAGGAGATGAGGGCCTGTCCCAGGGTGTTCCTAGTAATAGACGGGGTGGGGTGGGATGTTGTGGTATATACAAGAGATGTTGCGAAGGAAATTGACACATCTTGGGAAAAGATTGGATGGGGAGAGTAAGTGATAGTGAGGAGTCATAGATAACACCTAAGTTGCAAGCTTAGGGGACAGGCAGGATGGTAATGCCTTAGACAGTAATAGGGAAGTTTAAAGGGTAGGGAAAGGGTTTGGGGAAAAGATGATGAGTTTAGTTTCAGACATAGTGAATTTAAAATGTCTATAAGACATCCAGTTCAAGATGTCAAGATGACACACCAGTGTCAGGTGTGCTAGTGAAGAGAAGTTATGTGTTGAGAGATGAAATGGAGGTAGAAATGACAGGATTTGGCAACAGATTAGAGGAGGGTAAGTGTTCTAGTTAAAATCTCCGCTTCTATGAGAAGCCTTTCCTAATCTTCTTGAATGCAGGTGCCCTCTCTCTGCTGATGAGCTCCAACAGATGTTCTGTAGGTATCTTGTAGGTACACAGTTGTTTTCATATTGTCTCCTCCATTAGACTGTGAGCTCCTTGAGAGCAAGGACTTTTGCCTTTCTTTGTATAGTCAGTGCTTAGTACAGTGCTTGGTACATGGTGGGCACTCAATAAATGCTTATTGGCTTTGCACAATTGAGGAAACAAAGCTGACGCTGCAATTGTGAGCTGGGGTGATTGGGAGGGTGTTTGTATTCACAGCAGTAACAAGGAAGTTCAGAAGAGAGGAGTAGGAATAATAACGAATTTAGTTTTGGACATGTTGAGTTTGACACATCTATGGGATATCCAGTTGGAGATGTCCAGTAGGCAGTTGGTGATGTGAGTCTAGAGCTCAGAAGAGAGTTTCAGCTGGATAAACAGATCTGAGAATCACCTGCATAGAGATAATAATTGAACCCATAGGAGTTGATGAGATCACCAAGTAAGATAGTATAGAGTGAGAAAAGAAAAGGGTCTAGGACAGACACATGGATGATACCCACAATTAGTGGGCATGACACGGAGGAAAATTCAACAAAAGATACTGAAAAAGTGTGGTCAGACAAATAGGAAAGAAGAGTGTCATGAAAACCAAGGGAAGAGAGAATATTTAGAAAAAGAGGGTGAACAACAGTGTCAATGGTTGTAGAGAGGTCTAAAAGGATGGGGATTGAGAAAATGCCAATAAATTCAACAATTAAAAGAACATTAGTAACTTCAGAGAACAGTTTCAGTGAAATGATGAAGTCAGATGCCAGACTGAAGACAGTTTGGAAGAGAATGAGTGGAAAAGTAGAGGTGCCAATTATAGATATCCTTCTCAAGGAGTTTAGTCACGTAAGGGAGAAGAGATATAGGATGATAGTTATTAGATTGCCTTTGGAGATGGGCCAATAAAGTATTTTTTAAAGATGGGAAGATGTTGGGTGTGTTCATAGGCAGCAGGGAAGCAGGTATTAGATATAACAGAACTGTTTACCTCGCCCCCCCCACCCCCAACTTTCCTCTGTTTTGAACTTCCATGTTTCTGTTGAGGGCACCACTATCTTTCCAGCCTCCCAGATTTGCAACCTTACAGTGTTTTTCTCAATTCCTCAGTCTTCTTCACTCCGTAAATCCAATTAGTTGCCAAATTTTGTTATTTCTGTCTCCAGAGCATTTTTCTCATCTGTCTTCTTACTACTGATAAGGCATCACCTTAGTTTAGACCCTCATAACTCCTCATTAACCTATAGGAATGACTTCCTAACTGGTCTTCCTGTCTCACATCTCTCCCTACTACAATCAACCTTCCTCATAGCTGCAAAATGGTATTCCTTAAGCACAGCTCTGACCATGTGCCTTTTTCTACTTAACAAACTCCAGCAGCTTTTATTGCCACCAGGAAAAAGAGAAGTTCCTCTGGTTGGTATTTAAAGTCACTCACCACCTGCCACAAGCTACATTTCCCAATGCATTATTTTACTCTTCTTCCCAAATTCTCTAGTGTGCCACACTCTCCTGGCCATTTCTTATTTGATACTCTAGCTCTGTATCTTTGCAATAGCCATTGCCACTCTCTGGAATGCTGTTCCTCCTCATCTTGGAATCATAGTATCATCTCATTCCTTTGAGATTTAACTTCCTAGGGGCAGCTGGGTGGTGCAGTGGAGAGAGTACCGGCCCTGGACTCAGGAGGACCCGAGCTCAAGTGAGGTCTCAGACCAGACACTTGACACTTACTAGCTGTGTGACCCTGGGCAAGTTACTTAACTCTAATTGCCTTGCCCCCCCCCCCAAAAACCAAAAAACCAAAAAACAAACCATTTAACTTCCTACATGGAATCTTTTCTGATTCTCCCTTCTCCCAATTTCTACATTTAAAAAAATTTTTAAACTGTATTTATTTTTTTTTTACTCATTCTGTATATACTTATGTACATTTTATCTTACCCACTAGAATAAAAAGGCTCTGTGAGCAAGACTGTTTCACTTTTGTCTTAATGGATAAAATCCTAGGCACAGAATCAGGAAAACCTAAGTTCAAATCCTACCTCGAGCACTTACTAGTTGTGTAATTTTGGGCAAGTCACAACCTCTTCCTATAAAATGGGGATAACAATAATAACAATAATAATAATAATACCTATCTCAGAGGGTTGTTGTATTAAATTAGATGACAGATGTAAAGTGCTTTGCAAACCTTAAAGTACCACATAAATGCTAGTTATTACCACTGTTGCTGTTTTTATGATTATTACAATTCCTAGCACCTAACATAGTGTCTGGAACACAGTTGGTGCTTAATAAATGCTTGTTAATTGATTAATTGAACTGATTAAACATTAAATACAAGTACTAATATCCAAGGAAGAGCTAATGTTCAATTATTAATTACATTTATCCATTCAAGTTTAAGTGGAAATTAAAATCCAAATACCAAGATGTTGCTCATAATTCTGTGCTTAATGATTTATATTATTTAACACCAAAGAAAACATATATCTAAGGAAAAATTGTGCCGGCCGAGCCGACCTTGTGCCGGCCACGCCGTGCACTCTCCTCCTATAAGGAGCAGGCTGCCAGAGTCATACTACTTACTAGTCTTCGGAGCCTACCCAGATACACACACAGAGACGAGCCGACCAGGAGGTGCCAACACCCGAGCTTTATTCAGAGGTCATCACAGCAAGGCCAAGCAGGAAGGCCAGAGCAACAGAGCAGGAGCAAAAGGAGAGCGCGTGATCCGACTACGACCCCGTTCCTTAAGTACCTACTTAGCCCCTCCTCCTCAGCCCGCCTACTAGTCAATGATTGTAGGGTCAGATACCGGAAGGGGCTGTCTGAGTTTAGCGCACCAAGGGAGAGGAAGTGATGCGGGAGGCTAGGACCGGATACAGGAAGGAGGCATCTGGGATTAGTGCGTAGACAAAGAGTACTTGACCTAGGAAGTCAGGCCCAGATACTGGGAGGAGGCGTCTGGGGTCAGTGCTACACAAAGGGAAGGTACGTGACCCAGGAAGTCAGGAAAGACACAGGAAGGAGGCGTCTGGGGTTGACGTTGCATATAGGGAGGGGACTAAGCAAAGGGAACTTGTCCTCTGCTGTCCCACTCCCACATGGCACAGCCCCCTGCCTCAGGAGCACATGCTCCGCTACTTCCTTGTATCCTGATCCTTCCCCAGCTTATCTCACATAGCACTGCCCACTGCCTCAGGGCTTCTCCGTATCCAGCCCATCCCAGTTCACCACAACTCCGCCTACCACAGCCCCTGCCTCGGTTACTTCCAAATACCCAGATCTTACCCCAATCTTGCCACAACCCCCACTTGGCAGTAGCCAACATCAGACAGTCCCTCACAAAAAATATTTCTGTGCCCTAGAAAAGTATGAAAATTGTGCTCTTCTCTACTCCTTGCCTGTCCTTGGGCAGTTAGTTTTCCTTACCTTGACTTATGAGAAATGTATACATAAATAATTTACCTGGAAGAGAAATTAGTTTTCCTACTAGTGAGGAGTCTCTGATGTCTGGTTTTTCCTCTTCTTTTTTAGAAAATTCTAGGAAAAAAAGAGAGAGCTGTGTTTGTTTTTTAGGTGGGGGCTTGGGAACTTGTAGACAATTCATACACTTCCAATGGGTGGTCCCATCCTTCTGGTAAATCATCACAGGCAAGGAATATTTCCTTGGAAATGAAAGGTCATAGATCTTACAGAAAAATTCATAAAATTTTTGAAGAAACTAAAAATTATCCACAAGTTAGGATTAGATGACTATTACCTAACACATATTGTCTATAAGGCTTTCTTGCTGAAGCTGCTGATAGTGCATCAAATGAAAAATTTTGTCTAGTCATTGTGCCATGAGTCATTTGCAGTTTGTCATACCAATTCATTTTCCCTTCCTTACACACAGGTTGATTTTCATTCACAAATCTAGAGTATATAAGAGGCATATATATTGAGTCTGGTGTAGTTACACGCTTAAGGTCAGGTTTTAGGAGGATGGATGAGTGTCTTAAATGTGAACTCGTAGGTGTTGAGATCTCAGAAGACATGACTGAAGTTTTTTCTAAAGCACCATCCAAAAAGTAGTTTGTCGTTTTACGTTGCAGACTTGACTTTTCTGAAATATTTTCATCTTTTACTGAATTGTAAGTTGGCAAACAGAAAGGATCACTATAATTATCTTTGCGATTTGAAAATAACACACAAAACTTTGGATATTTCTTTAAAAACATCTTTGATGCCGCATCTCTATGTCTTTTTACATGCTGTTTAAGAAGGAGGTTTTTGATATAGATCCGGGATTGCCTTTTCCTCTTTGGAAATTTTCCAAGAATTACATTCTTCTCTATTTCAGTTGTAGTAATTTTACTGGGACAGGGTTTAAGAAGATCTTGTTGCTTGGATACTTCATTGGTGATAGCTAAATTGCAGGGTGGGGAGGCGTAGGAAAAGAGGGAGAAAAATATTGAGATTATGTTTCTTAATCAACATTTTTTAGTCAAGAAAACACAATGTAACAGATCCCTGAGTTAATAACATATATTCAGATTTTATTCAATCATGAAATTATTGTATTTATTTAGTATAACAAATAGATCCTTTCCCTTGTTGAACTTACTTGATAGACATACACATATAAAAGGTTAGGGAGAAAAACACGAGTTAAATAACAACTCAAGATAAAAACATTAGAGATGTCCTAGGGCAGTCAATGATTAATGAATAGTATAGGTAGCCAAGGCCAAAAACTCAAAACAATTTAAAAATTTACTGTAAGGTGAACTATTAAGGAAGGTTTTGTGAAAGATGGAAAACTTGATTTGGATATGAAAGGAAGGGTTGGTTGGACTTGAACTAGTGAAGAAGAGGGGTAGGGCATCTGTAACTTCATCTGCTATCTTCCATATTGCTAATTTTCAACTTTTCAATTCTAGCCTTGACGTTTTGACCAAGCTCTAGCTCCATATGTCTAATTGCCTTTAGTATACTTCCAATTTCCTCTCAATCCCAAGTAAATATTTCGTGACTTTAAAACTCCAGTATGTCTAAAATGGCACTTTTTTCCCCTTCAAAACTATTTTTCTTTTCCAAATCCCCATTCTGTTCATGGCACCATCATTCCCACAGTTCCAATAAGATGACCCAAAATCGTGGGAGTCATCTTCAATGGCATCTGTTTCTTGCTTCCTCACAACTAATCAGTCAACAAATCCTATCAGTTTTCTTATTACTGTTACTTAGTCTTGTCCCTTTCTCTTCATTTCCATCAATATCCTAGTCCGTACCACTCATCCCCTTACTCTTAAAATTATCAAAAAGCCTCCTGTAAAATAGCCTCTTGTCTTTTTTTCCTCCATCCTAGGATAGCTTAAAAATTGCAACCAAAATCATCTCCTTCATATACTGTTTTGATCATGTCATTCTTTCATTTAAAATTGTAAATACAACCAACCCTCAACATTTGCATGTTTAACTTTTACAACTTCAAGCATTTGTGTGATTTTATTAGTACCCTCATTTTCACTTTCATGTTGGCAACCACACACATTTGCAGTTATGTACAATAGAGAGAGAGAAAAAAATGAAAGGCCTAATGCACAAGTCTGTGGAGCTGCTAGTATCCTACTAGGTGCTTCACTGATCCCATAGATCACAGCCTCAAGGCTAAATGTCAATTTGTCTCTGCTCTGCTCCCACACTCTGTGACCTTTAAGAATCTCAAATAGCTCACAAAGCAGACTTCCCTGATGGTTTATTTCAAGCTGGTGCATCTCCAACTCCATCCACCATCCATGAAGGACAGAGTATCAGAGGCGATGTTGGGACCTTGGTGTCTTGTGAAAGTTGAGGACTGACTGTAGCTCCAAAAGGAAAACAAAGAAGAAAATTACCAAGGTGGTAAAGGAAGAGTCTCAACCAGGGTTAAGAGGTTAGAGAGTAGAAAAATAACACTAAAGAGGAACAGGAAAAGATATGCTAAACTACCAAGGCTATTCGTGTATTTGAGACTCATCACAAAGAACGTATGTAGAACCCAGGGGTTCTTAATCTGGCATCTGTGAAGTGTTAAAAAAAAATTGATAACTATCTTTCAAAATAATTAGTTTCTTTGGTAATCTTGTGTATTTTATTACATGCATTTAAAAATATTATTCTGGTAAGATGTCCTTAGGTTTCACCCAATTGCCAAATGACGTCCATCACACAGAAGAAGGGAAGTACCCCTGAACTATACTCTCTGAAATGCAAGCAACTCTCTTCCTCCATGTGATTAAAAAGAGAATCCCAAACTGCCAGAAGATGCAAAGAAATGCATTAGTTCCCCAAGAAAAAAGGATACATTCTAGTAGTCATTGCCTCTCTGATGAGAGGTTCAAAGACAGCTTTGTGTAGATGTGACTTATCCAGAGATAGGCTGCCTTCGTGGGGCTGTGTCTAGAATGTAGCAAAGTATCCCCAATGCTGGCACTTAGGACACTATGGGGCTGAAAGGAGAAGACAGAAACATATGTTTTCTTTACATAGAAAGATGTCTTCCCCTTCTCCAGCTATTTCATGGAGATGGGGTAGTGCTTAGGTATATCAAGAAGTAGTAACCTGAGCATTAATATGCAGGATATTCCAAATAGCTTAAAATGGCACTAAAATTTTGAGACACTGCATACATTGTGTGGTGGTGAGTAGGCTGGCACAGAGGAAAGACATGAAGGATTTCAACTATTTGGATCGAAGTTAGAAATCTATTAAAACCAAAGCATCACATATATCCTTTATTTCCCTTATTTATAGTTTTCAATTTTAGAATGGAGGAGAAGCAGTTATAGAACTGGTATTTTGGACTATAGTCTTACTATTGATAAATGGAAATGATAGGAATCTACCTTGGGAATCAGTCACCATGCCATTTTAACTTCTGTGATAGTAATTGGAATACCAGGCATGAGAAAATTCTGACTTGCGTGCTAGACGTCAGGAGAATGGATTTCAAGGTCTTTATGCTCTAATCTCAGCCATAGCCTCTTGTACACCTTATAACATGTTGCTTCTTGACCTTACAATGGCTACTATGCCTTTGTCTATAAACAGCTTTTAGAAAGAAAAAAAAAGGGGCAGGTAGGTGGCGCAGTGAATAGAGCACTGGCCCTGGATTCAGGAGGACCTGAGTTCAAATCCAGCCTCAGACACATAACACTTACTAGCTGTGTGTCCCTAGGCAAGTCACTTAACCCCATTGCCTAGCCAAAGGGGGAAAAAAAAAAGAAACAAAAACTAGCCTAGCACTACTCTTCCCTTGGCCATTATTTCATCCACTGTCAGGCTCTTCAGATGAGTAGACTACACCTGTTATCTCTATTTCCTCAACTCATTTTCCATGATCCATTCATTCCTTTAGTCCTTATAGTCTTACTTCCAAGAGTAATAATGATAATAGCAGTAGTAGTAATAATAATAGCTGTGGTGCTTTAAAAATTGTGAAATACCTACATATATAGATAGCTATATACATGAATACATGTATACCACTATAGACAAATGATAGATATCAATATGGACATATAGATATTGTAACAGTTAAAAAATGTAGACTGGGGCACTAAGTTCTGAGCACAATCAATTTATTGCTTCCTTAGCAAAACTAAGACCCAGTTATTCTGGGGAGTACAGAAAATAGGAAGGTCAGCATCATAAGATGGAAGAAAATTTGATTAGATGGAAATTGGAAATGAAGGCCAGCAACAAACCCCCTCCTTCCCACCCGCTACTAAGAAATATCCATTGGTTGAGTCCAGCTGCATCTGCAAGGACAGAAGTAGCAAATCAGACATCTTTGGTTAACCGGACATTTCTGAAGGACAGCTTGGCTGAGTAAAGATACTATACCAGAATCCCTGGTGTCCACCTGCATCCTTCAAGGGTAACATTCTTGACGCAAGAATAGAACAGTGATGAACAGGAAAACCGAATTTCTAAACTTAACTCATTACAGGCCAGTTAAATTTGTGAATTAAGTTCAGAAACAAAGAATCATGACTTAGGCAGTTACAGCACAAAATCAATTAATTGTAAATAGGATCAATAAAAAAGACAGACTCAAACTGATTATTTTGATATTTATATATCTATATTACACATATCTATGTAGATATCTATCATTTGTACATAGTTGTTTGCATGTTGTCTCCTCCATTAGACTCTGAGCTCCTTGAGAGTAGTCTACTTTTTGTCTTTCTTTGTATCCCCAGAAACTGGCACAGTGCCTGGAACATATTAGGTGCTTAATAAATGCTTTTTTTTTTTTTGGTGAGGCATTTGGGATTAAATGACTTGCCAGGGTCACACAGCTAGTAAATTTCAAGTGTCTGAGGCTACATTTGAACTCAGGTCCTCCTGACTCCAAGGCTGGAGCTCTATCTACTACACCACCTAGCTGTCCCTTTAATAAACGCTTGTTGATTTGATTTAACTAGTAAATGAAGATAGAAAAAGATATAATATTTCCTGTGTTTAAGAGACTTATCCAGTTGTGGAGACAAGACACCATCATTAACCCAGCCTTTCTGTAAGCTTCTTTATTTGTGGTGGGAGGAGGTCAGACTTGATGATATCTAGATTTCTTTTTATATCTAGATTCCATAAAGCTGGAGGTAGAAAAAGGGATGATGTGATTAAACATGCTTTAGAAAGATACATTTGCTAGATGTGTTGAGGGAAGAAGTTTCACAGAAATCAAACTCCCAGGCAAGGCTGAGTGGGTGAGCTTTGGGCTCTAATCTCAATCACAGCCTCTTTTACACCTTATAACACGTTGCTTCTTGACCTTACGCTGGCTATTGGGCTTAGGAAGGATAAATGGTGTAAACACTGAAACAAAGGAATGACTATGTACATGTAGAGAATGTTCAGGAGATACAGTACACCAGCCTGTCAAGAGGGGAGATTGTGTTGAATTGGGGATGAGAGAGAATTTGGAGATGTAAGTTGTAATCAGAATGGGTTCAGGCAAGTATTTATTTATTTTATTCTATATTCACTTTAAAAACTTGATTGTATAATATGTCTTTATCATTAGTGCTTATCTGAAACTCCAAACTATTGAAGGGTTCTATGATTAATGTTACATACCTGACTGAATTTTTTCTTTCTTTAGGGGAAGCGGTTTATGCTGGGTCTTTGGAGGCAAAGGTTTTCGAAGGAGTTTTGGTAGTGTAAACATTTTATTTAAAATCGATTTCTGTTCTTACCACTCCTAGTTAAGCAGAATTGTTTAGGTTCTGAAATGTTCCTGTTGCAACACCAAGGCAGTTAATCAAATCTACATCTTACATTGTTTCTCTGGAATAACAAAATTAAATATATGTTAAGTACATATAAAGTACAATTTTTACATAAAAAAAAACCAAAATAAGACCGTAAACAACTTTACAGGATTAGTAAAATTTGTGTGATACTCTTTCCAACATCGAATGAACTTTCTTCCCAAAACAGAAATCCTTACTGCCTAATACAGCTTGAATTGATGAGGGGATGAAATAATAGAAGTACTATCTTCTAAGCCCAAAGTAGTTATATTTTAAAAGCCAGGAAATGACATTAAGTCTAAAATATAGGGAATTGACAAGGACATCTTGGTTTGCTGCCTCAGGTGGTTTTTAAGTTATTTTCGGCTTTCTCCTTAGAATGACTCTTATTTTGGTCAAACTTTTAGGGAAATGGGGATATTTAAGCTTAATTTTTGTCTCTTACTATTTCCCACTTTTCTACATCAAAGTCCCTCTTCTTCCCCCCCACCCATGTGAACTGGCCTCCTTTCTTTCCTTAAAAGGTATTGAAACTATCCTCAAGAATAAATTGGTCCAGGTGACTAGAGGTCATTGAAATCTCTTCCTCATCACCTGAGTACAAAAGCCAAGAGCAACTCCTCCCAGATGCCTAACCCTAGGAACACTATGGGAAGGAAACTCAGAGACTGGGAAGCCTTGCTCAACTGAATCAACTCTGATGTCCTCAGTGCGTATCTTTTTTTGAGTATCATTCCCTTGCTATGACTAAGTAAATCTCTTTAACTATTGGTTAGACCTCAAATGCTTCATTTTATTCTAATCTTTAAACTAAATAACCAGGAAGAGGGAGGCAGCTGGGTTGTACAGTGGATAGAGTGCTGGCCCTGGAATCAGGAGGACCTGAGTTCAAATTTGGCTTCAGACACTTAATAGCTGTGTGACCCTGGGCAAGTCACTTAACCCTATTTGCCTCAGTTTCCTCATCTGTAAAATGAGCTGGAGAAGGAAATGACAAACCACTCCAGGATCTTTGCCAAGATAACCCCAAAAAGGGTCACAAAGAGTCAGCCATGACTGAACAACAACACTGCAATCCTAAATAGTCTTCATAAATGATCTTCCTATTCTATTCCGTACTTCACACAGTTGCCAAAGTATTATTCTTAAAGCACAAGGCTGTGGCATGAGAGGATCTGAGTTCAAATCCTGCCTCACACTGTTAGCATGATCTTGGACAAGGTATTTAACCTCCTAGTGCCTGCTTCCTCATCTAAATGTTAAATAAAAGGGCAGGGCTGGATGACCTCTGATATCCCTTGAGCTCAGGAAGCTCCAAGGCCTCTCAATTATTGCCTCTAGGATAAAATACAAACTCCTTGGTTTGGTATTTAAAGTTCTTCACAGACCACAGCCTACCTTTCCAGGCTTATTTATTATACTTCAATCCCTTTCAGGTATTTTACTTTCTAGTCAAAACTGACCTGTTTACTTATGCTTACATGTGACATTCCATTTCCCCTGTGTGCCTACACCCAGGCTGGCTCCCATATCTGGAATATATTCCCTTCTCACCATTGATTCTTAGAATTCCTAGCTTCCTTCAAAGCCTGGCTTAAGCGCCATCTCCTTCTTTCCTGGAAATTATTCCCTGCTTTCCCCCTAGTATCAGCTGTATATCATATGTGGAATAAAGTTAAGAATGTTAATAGAAGGTCAAAAAAGTGTATTTAACCAATAGGTAGAACCTGTTAAGAGCCTGAGCAATACTGGTACCCTGAGAGAATTCAGGATGGTCTCCAAACTAGGCTAAGTTATAAGTACTAAGCAGAGGTAGTGATAATGATGATAACAGTGGCCTGTTTCTTGTTTTTGTTTCGCCTTAGGAGTTTCTTTTGAGGAAAGAATAGTTGAGAGGGGAGGGAGGGAAGGAGAGGCTCACCTCCCCCAGGAACTACTACAGTTGAAGTTGAGTTACAGCCATTGGTTTACTCTCCACACTGTCCCCTGATGTCTCCAAAGTAGTAAGTATTCCTTCTTCCTTCAGGAAACTATCCACGCCAGCTCCAAATCCCTTTCCCTCCAGCCTCTGGTCCCAGTTTCTCCAACTCCGCGACTTCCCGGCCCACCCATAAGGTTAGAGTCCTGCGTCCTTAAAGAACGGCCCTTGGCAACAGGGGGAGCCCTGTCCTCACCTGCAGCTGCCGCGCGTGCACCTTGAAGGCCGGACGCACGGGCGTCCGCGAGAGTCCTGCTAGGAAAGCTGAGAGGAGGGACAGGGCTGGGTTGGGCAGGGCCGGCCGAGGCAAGCAGGGCTGCGCTCAGTGCGGGGAGGAGGCGCGTTCCCGGGAGAGGAGGAGAGGAGGAGAGGAAGAGAGGAGTGGGCTGGCGGCTCTGCTGCCGCTGCTGCGTCTGCAGCTGTGCGGAGAGCAGAGCGGGCACGGGGGTCCCTCTTCACCTTCTTCCTCCACTGCATGGGGCTACGGGGGAGGCTGCAGGCAGTAGGGACAGGAGAAGACGCTAGTGCCACATGCCGCTGCTTTACAGAACCCTGGTGAACACCATTCTACCTCTTATTGTGACGCTTCTCGTTCGGTAACCAAGCTCAGTTCTCGTGTCGCATTTATTTCCCCTTGTTTTCTCTAGGTTCGCTCTGCAGGCTTCTCTCCCGACCGGACCGTGAGGTTTTATGCGGTGGGCTTGTGATGCTGCTCACTTCTCCGCTTCGGTTTTGCTTTAAATGCAGCTGGTTCTGGGGTGTTGGCTTTTCTTTTAAAAAAATGCCGGATACAGGTCATCTGTAGGAATAGAGGAGCGGAGGGTGAACCCCCTCCCCCCCAAAATGTGAGTTAGGAACCTGTTTCATCTGTCTCATTCCATACGTTTGTTATGCAAAGTACGTTAGTGTTGCCCTGGTGTCTTTCTTGTCAAGTTGTTTGCTGGAGGTTTCTGGGTAGGTTCTGTGTGTGTGTGTGTGTGTGTGTATGTGTATGTGTGTGTATGTGCGTGTGTGTTTACCAGTGCATATGCGTGCCGGACTACTTGTCTTTTCGAGATTGGCAAAGGGGAAGGTTGCAAAAAAAAATTTTTTTTTAAATCCCCACTCGAAAAATAAAAAAGGAAGTCATAGGTAAATGTGTAAACTCCCTACTCTGTAGGGAAGATGGAAAATTACAAGTTACTTTAGTCTTCTAAGAAATGAAGGTGCAATAAGTTTAGTTAACAGGTGCTGAAAGATTAGGTACTTCCCTGTAAAATAAAGTGTTTCTTCACTGAACAAGCCTTCCAATGACTTCTTGGAAACTTACATAAATAGGCTTGATGGAAGGACTTACATGCCTGATTAATGAAGATGATTTCCCTGTTTCCATAAAGATAACTTTCCCATTTCTAAAAGGATTAATTTCTTTAATGATAATTATCCCTATTTCTGTGGTTGGTCCAAGAAATGCTATTCAGCTGTTCATTCTTTTGAGGGTTAAAGTATAAATCGGCTTTCTTCTTTGAAGGTTAGTTGCATTCTCAAATAGGCAGTCATCCAAAACCTTGGCCGTCTGACTTTTCCCTCTGTGCTTTCTTCCTAGGGGTGATTAATCACAAAGATAGATAAGGCTCCAACCTGATTGTTAGGTTTTGCCCTAGAGAATGTTTATTAGATCGGATGTTGGGGAAATGGCAGGAAATCTCAGGTGTAAACTCGAAATAGCGTTTCCCTGATTAGTTCATTTATAAATAAATTTTTGTCAGAAGAGGGAGGTAGGAGAGGAAGCATGCTTGTTTAAGCAGATTTTTAAAATCATGGCAAAATGAGGGCCAGGATCCTGGGTTATTTTGCTTTCAGTGTCTTTGAAAATATATTTTATCCTGAAAACTTTTATAGTTTTCAGTTCACCTAATGCTTGCCCTGTAAATTCCATTAAGAGTGTGTAGCAGTATGGAAATGAAAGTGATGCTCTTGGTATGACTAAGAAATGCTTTGTCACCCATTGCATCAAGCCTTCCCTCCTTTCTGGGTATTTTTCTTAGCAGATAACACTCATTTTACTGAACAGTTCTATTGACATAGTAACTTTTATGTGTTTTCCACTTGTGAGTATTTTGTCTTGTTCTGGGTTTTGAGAATGGAGAGAAATTACAGGAAAGCTGTATTTCAGGGTATACCTGTATCGTAACATAATACGAAGCGTATACTAATGTCTATGTAAATAGTATGCAAACTTCTGGTGCATTTGGAATAATCAAATATTGTTTAGATTGACAAGTTATTTCCATTTCCAATTCTTTGTTCTAACGCATGTTTGTTTTTAATAACAATGTAGATTCTCCCTTCACCTAGGCAGAGAGGTGTTCTGGGCCTGGTTCAGAATTCAAATTAGATCTCAGACACTTAACTAGCTTGTGTGACCTTGGGCAAGTCCCTTAACCCCTGTCTGGCTCAGTTTTCTCATCTATAAAACAAGGATAATAATAGCACCTACGTCACAGGGCAATTATGAGGATCAAATGAGATAATACTTGTAAAGCCCTGGCACATTGTAGGCATTCACTAAATGCTTATTTCATTCCTTCCAATTTAAAGGGAATATAATGTATAGTTAGCTGTCTTATTTGTTCTACTGTCAGCAGTACGTGTTACTGTTGGGCATATCCATGTGAGGCAAATTGTCAAACAAAGCCACAAAATGTATTAGCAGATTGTATTAAAAAGAGCCCGACAGTCATGAGCTCCAAGGTTATATACATGCTGAAACTTTATGTACTTCTAGAATGAGATAAAAGCATTATACAAAAAGCAACTCGACCATCCCATCCACGTAGTTATTGATTTTAACTAATGTATGGAGAATCTCTGATTTGCTAATAGGTGAAAGGGTACTCTGACGGCTACATGAGAATAATGTAAGTAATTAGTACTAGAAATCTTCACAACTCTCCTTGTACTCTCTTTATAAGAAACAGAAATTTTTCTAACAGACTGATAGTAGCTAACATCCCAACTTTTTTGGAATTTGCTGGAGTGATTTGTGCTTTTGTTATTATTTTATACTTTTAAAGTTTTTAAAAAAATAATTGTATGTAAAGTGAAGAGGTGAGACAGACATCTGTGTCTTTAAAATATCGGCAGCTTTTGAGAAGAGACTAGACTTTATTGGTCTCATTGAATAGACTCTACTTATTGATAATGTGTTAATTCCTCATTTTACTTATGTTAATGCAGTTTTCATATAAGACTTTCATTTCTTCTTATATACAACCAGGTACATATCAGGAAAATTATTTTGTTACTGGTTGCTGGTTGTTATAAAAGCTTTTTGGGGCCTAAATTTCAGTATTTATACCTGTTCTTTAGTTTGATTCTCCTTCAGCTAACAGAGATGATTTTGTTGTCTTAAATGTATTTTAATAAAGTATTATTTTAAATAGATGCTTTTCTGAGTTTTTTTCATTGTCCTCCCATAAAGGTAACAATTTCTTTTCCCACTAGAAGAAACTATTTAGCTTGACAATTTTCTTTTACTTTCAAGATGATTAATACTCCTTTTTTCTTTGTTTGAAATGAGTTCATGGGGTACCTTTTAAAAAATATATTATTTATAAGGCACTCTGGAAAAATTCTAAGATTAGATGTTTAAAAGAAACCAGTCTTTTTCCCAGTAATGAATGGAGGGAAAAGTCTGTTATTTCTTTTAAAAAGTATTTCTTAACTGTAGGTCTAAGGAAAGGTTAGATATTATATGGGGTTTTCAAAAACTTTTGATTTGGCATAAAACTAGAACTATATAAGTGCTTACTGATATTAATAATAATAATTGATATTTATAATGGACTTTAAGGCTTACAAAATATGTGACATAATATTCAATTTATCTTCAGAACTCTATGAGGTAGGTTCCAGAGTTGTTACCACTATTTTAGGGATATAGTTAGGTGACTTGCCTCATGATCACATAGACAGGAAGTGTTAGAGATAGTATTCACACCCACATCTTTCTAATGTTCTTTCCATTATGGCGCTTGAAAGAATTGTCATTTATTTGCATCCTAAGAAAATGTTCATCAGTGATGATTTTACCTGATCAAATGTCATCAGCATCAAAAACATTGATTAGTAGTTAGCTTTGTAGTTATCACTCTATGGTGCATACCTTATCAAGCCATCAAAGATGGAGAGAATCCTAAGATATTAGGGTTGGAGGGCCCTGAGTGACCATCTAGTTTGATTCTCAAAGAAGGCAGAATGATGTAGGGATCTAGTAGTTTTTGCACTGTGTGACCTTGGCCAAGTAATATCACTTCTTTGAGATGGTGTTTCCTTATCCTTAAATAATAGGTATAATAATACTTGCACTGTTTACTTCATAGCATTGTTGTAATGGAAGTGCTTTATAAATTTGAAAGCCCATTTGAATGTGAGGCACAATTATTTTCCAGATCTGGAAACTGAGGTTCAGAGAGTCTTTGGAGATGTCTTGCCCAAGAACATTCTGTTAGTAGTAGAGCCAGGAATAGAACCCAGTTTTCCTGTCTTTGGGGGCGGCTAGATGGTATAAGTATTAGATAGAGTGTCAGGCCTGAAGTCAGGAAGACTCATCTTCCTGAGTTCAAATCTGGCATCAGACAATTCCTGGCAAGTTACTTCACCCTGTTTACCTCAGTTTCCTCACCTGTAAAATGAGCTGGAGAAGGTAATGGCAAATCACTCCATTATCTTTGCCAAGAAAACTCCAGTTAGACTCATAAAGAATCAGACATGACTGAAACGACTGAACACCAAATTCCTATCTCTCAGTTTTGAATCCCTTTCCTTACAGTGAAAATACTGATGCAAATGAACAGAGAGTACTTCTAGGTAGTTGGACACCCATGCACTAATTAAATAAAAATCATTATATACAAGCAGAAAGGTAAGTGCATCTTGTAAGGTTGTCAGTGACGCAGGGATGTCCTTAAATTTATATGAAGAAAAAGCATTAACAAAATTGACTATAATATGATAGAAGTCTGTTTTCCTATCCCTTACTAGGGAGAAGGCAGTGTCAGTTAATATTATCTGTGATTATTGTAATGTTTCAATAAGAAAAATTAAATAACTTCATTTCTCTTCATTCTCCTGAAGTTTAGAGTAAGTAGTTTTACCTCTTTGCTCAAAATACTGGACTTTGTTTAGCAGGTTTATAGGAATATTTTCCCTAAGGTTTGTAATTCTTCCCCCATTCTCTGTTAATCAAAGATATTATGAAAAAAGTAAATTAAGAAATATATATAAAAAAAGAAATATATGATCATGTCTCCTGTTTCCTAGCACTGACTTAGTGGATATGATAGTCTACTTATGTCAAGAAAGTACCTTGGAGGTCAAGTCCAGTTCAGTCATTTTACAGATGGGAAACTGAGGCACAGAGTACTTAAGAGACTCAGGGTTACACAGCTTCTAAGTGTCTGAAGCAGGATTCAAATTCAGGTCTTTCTAATTCCAAGCCTAGCACTCCATCATCTACAGCACCTAGCTGCCAGTATACGTGATACTTGAAGATGAAAGACTATGTGAACTAATATATTATTATTGTTTTGTTCCACCAGGGAAGTCATATGTTTCACTGTAGCCCAGCAGCCTATGTGTAATTACTGACTGACACTGTTCTGTGCTGCTGTGATGTTGGGGAAGCAGCAAGTACTGGATTGGAAGTCAGAAGACCTGAGTTCAAATTTTGACTTTGTGACCTTGATCATATTACTTAGACCCTCTGGGCCACTGTTTCCATATTTGTAAAATAAAAGAATTAATTCAAATATTCCC